AGAGCTTTTCCTGTGATTTTCAACCCCCAAAGTCCCCCCCCCCCTCTCGGTCCAATGAAAGCGCCGCTTGTTCCACTTCTGAGTCGGCCGGTTGATCAGCCTGGCCCACCTGAACCCGGCATGAGGAGGAGCAGCAGCCGGGCGGGAGAGGGAAGAGGGCGCAGAGCAGCTGAGCCTGCCTGGACTCAGAGAGAGGGGCCTGCTCTGAGGGGAAGCAGGGGGGGCAAAGGGCCCGGCCCAATTAAGTGGGGGGGCAGCAAAGCTGTGGGAGTTAGGGGGCAGCAAAGCTGGGGGGGGGCTAACTTCTTTCCCCTTATGTTTGCAAAGCCCTGTGCCCCCCCCCCCCGGTGGGGATTTAAGGAGGGAAGGGGGGTGCCGTTTGTTCGCTCAGGAATCTTGCATTCGCCGTGGAAGGGCTGCTGGGAAGCTCCCGAGGGGGAGTCGCCACCCCCCCCCCCAAAGGACCAGGGTTTAGTTCCAAGTGGAAGCATCCAATCTTGGCGTGTAGATCATCATTGCTCTGGGTCCATCTTCATTTGCCTTCATTTGTGGCCGGAGTGTTGGAGCCCCGGAGGCGTCTTGGGATTCTGATGGGGGAGCAAAGCCCTGGGGGGGGGGGGGTGGCAGTGACCCTGGGGACCCTTGGCTTTCATGCTTCTTTCTCCCGTTTGCCCCTCCCCCTCCCCCACTTCCAATCTGGGCATTGGATTCGTTCCCTTTTGCCTGGAGCTCTGTGCTCTGCCCAGGAGGGCTTGTCCTGGGTGCCCTGGGCACCAACAGGAGCTCCAGAGTGGGAGGGGCAGAAGAAGACCTCCCCTGGCTGAAGCCAATGAATGTGATGAGCTCCATTCTGTCTGTCACACAGAGAGTGGCCGGCTCCCCTGGGGAGGGCTGTGCCTGAGGCACATGGCCCTTAGGCAGGGCTTCTGGGGGGGGGGCTGGGGTGTTGAGCCTCATTGCACCCTCCCGGTGTGCAGAAAACGGGTTTGGCCTCTTGGCTAACTGCCAGGCGCCTTGGGCCACCAGCAGGAGCCACGGACAGGTGGGGCACGGGGGGGGGGGTTACATCCAAAGAAGGGGCTGCCTGGTCCAGCCACGGGAGGGGGGGTTGGGGGCATTTGAAGAAGTCCAGAATTGTTCCTTCACTTCTGTCCACCTGAGGTCCCCTCCGTCCATTCTTTCCTTGAGGGGGGTCTTGCAATCCCTCCCTCTTTCTCTCCCCCCACCTCTTTCCCCCCACCACCTCCTCATTTTTTGAAAGACAAGCAGAAGAATGACAATCTACAAAATCAAACCACCTTATTTGTATTTCTATAAATATATTCCTCCAGAGCTTTTAATTTTATTTCTTGTGTTCATCTGTACTGTTGACAGTTACATTGTGTATAATTTTTTTTTAATTTGTATAGGGTTTTAGTTTTAAAAAGTTATCTATATATATAAATATAAATATATATTATATATTTTCCATTTTTAAAAAGGGGTGTTGCAACGAAACACGAAATTGCACGATTTAAAATGACTTTAGTTGAAAATGCTGCAGTTTTTAGAGGAGGAAATGGAGCTTATTTATTCTCAAAGGCTACAAAAAGTGTACAATGCATGAGAGAAAAACATTTACAAAAAAGACAAAAAAAGACAAAAAAGTGTAACCTGAACAAAGTGTAGCGTTAAAAAATTTAAACTACGAAAACGGCTAATATATTGTGTTTGGCTTTTGGTTTTTAAATGTTTCCTTTTTTTCTTTGAGAATGAAATGCAATAGTGGATATTTTCATATAAGAAGTATGCACTCAGATGTTTAGAAACGATATATTACTTTCTAAAAGCCTGGTTACTTAACCAAAGTCTGTTTCTGCTCTTTTCCTTGGCTGAAACCGGGGCGACCGGGGGCGACGGCGGCCGTCCGGAGAGCGAGGGCTGGGGGGTTGGGGGGCGCCCGCCTCGCCCTGCTTGGCTCGGGGAAACTTTCGAAGCGGCTTCCTTCGCGGGCATCTCGGAAGAGAGAGGGGCCTTTTCCCAAGCGTTTCGCCCCGGAGCACAAAGGACTCCCCCGGCTTCTGCCCCCTCCCTCCCTCCCCCTCCCCCGTTTGCACGGAGTCCGAAGCTGGCTTAGGCGGGGAGCAGCGCCCACCTGAAGCCAAACGGCCGGGGAGGAGACCCCTCCCGCTCCTGCCCCGGGGGGCCCTGAGCCGGACTCGCTGGGCACGGGGGGCTCGGCGGGGGCGGAGGGAGGGGGCTCTGGTCCCTGAGGGCCCCTGGGCTGGCCCCGCCCCCTCCTCCTGCGCTGCCCTCGGGGGCGGGGCGAGGGGTCTACTCCGCCCCCTGTCAAACTCCCTTCGCGGCTGCGGGGAGAAGGGCTGGGCGGGGCTCCCGCGAAGCTTCTGCCAATGGGAAGCCGAGCGCCCTCCCTCCGCCCGCTCGAGGCTGCTCCGCGGTCCCCGTGGCCGGGAGTCCGCCTGGGGGGTCCGGGAGAGCCTCGCTCCGGTCCCGCTGCGGATTCTCGGGGGTCCCAGAAGCCCCCCGGGATCCGCTGAAGCCTCGCGGCGCCGGCTCCGCCGAGCCGTCCTTTGGGCTTACGGACCCCGCCCGAGAGGCCGCTGGAGGCGGGAGGGGCTCGCAGGCGGTCGCTCCGCCCAAAGGGGGTTTGGGGAACTGGCCGGAACTGCCGGCTCCACTTTCTGCTTCTCTTCCCCGCGGGGAGCGGGGCGGTGTGAGCGTCGCGCGGCCTCCCTCGGGGCATCTTGCGGGGCTGCTCTTGGGGCGTCGATTAAACCGGCTCCTGCCTGCCCAAGTGCGGGGCCGCCGCCTCCTGGCTCGTGTCCCGGCCTTCCCCTGCCAGCCACCCCGAGGAGGAGCCGGTCGGGGCTCTGGCTGCCTCGGAAACACCCCGCCCCCCGCGGCCAACGCGGAAAGCCCGGGGTCCCTGAGCGCCCTGGGGGCGCTGCCGGGCGCGGGGAGCCTGCAGCGCTGCGGACACCGTCGCCGGTGGGTCGGATGGGCGAGAGGAGGCGTCGCCTCCAGGAGTGCAGTCCGTCCCCTCCTCGGTTTGGCTCGGGCCGCGCATGGCCGCAATTGCCACTTTATGCACCCCCTTTTTCTGCTGAAGAAGCCCAGATTCCTAGAAGAGAAACCGCCGCTCCAAGATCCTCCTGGCCGCAGCTGAGCTGCGCGCTGCCACTCCTCCCCCCCCCCCTTGGCTGGCATGAGCGGCACCACAAGGAGTGATGGGAGCTGCCTCGATGGCTGAGTGGGGAGGAGAGCCAGAGGCCAACAGCTTTGACCTGGAGGTTGCCAGGGTCAGATAGGTTAACAGGAGCCAAACCCTGAAACACCGTTGGGGGGGGGACACATTTCTGGAAGGCAAAGAGCCGCTTGGGTTTAAAAAGTGGTGCCTGCCCTCCTTTTGCCCCAGAGCAGCCATCGTGGTTTCTACATTAACCTGCAATTCAAGGTCGTCCCCTTGAGCTCCGCCTCCCATCCCGAGCGGTCACGGCCATCCCGAAGACACGGACAGAGAACGGGCCTTTGGGTGGGTCGACTCCATGCAACCCCACAAGGCCTGTTTGAGCCTCCCCCAGACCCACATGTGCGGTCATGGCAGGGGCCTTAGAAGTGGGGGTGGTGGCCCTTAAGATATGTCCCCCCCAGTTCACCTGCCCCCTCCCCACAACCTCCAAGACAAGTAAATGTCTGTGTGAATGGCGGGAAGAGTCACTGATTGAATCGTCTTTTCAAGGAAGTCTGAGTTGCTGTGGGAACGTGCGGTGGGTCAAGAGTGCCATCAATTCGGGGAATGGGGGCTGGCCAAGAGAAAGGGGGTGGGGGAGAGAGGGACGCCTTTTCCTTTGTGCCCTACATTTCCCATGAATCCACACCTGGGGGTGGGGTGATCTGCAAATACACCCCCAAAGAACTTCCAGAAAAGGGGGCTTAATGATAATCCTTTAATCC